GAGAAATATTTGTATGGCCTATATTTATTTCTCTCGTGAGTTTGGGTGTAATTTGTGGTTGTCTACATATGTAACATACATTGGGTGTAACATACGTGAGATTGGGTGTAATTTGTGGTTGTCTATGTATGTTACATAGACAACCACAAATTACACCCAAACTCACGAGAGAAATAAATGTAGGCCATACAAATATTTCTCCCGGCCCGGGAATCGAACCTGGGACCTTTGTGGGGCAGTCCGGCATGGTAACCGTTCGGCCACGGAGGCAGTTTATATATTTTGCTTACTGCATATATGCATTACTGCTTGGCGGCAGAAATAGGTAAGGTGGCAGTGCTTTATTTTTTATTTTTCCTGTAAAATTGGTGTTTTTATAATACACTTTATTCGATGGGACTCGCCACCATGCATCAGCTCCATGTGCTTTTTGACTTATATGTTAAAGTCCTTATCAGGTCTTCTAGGATCTATTAGTTATGAAAAAATGTCGCCTGTTAGCATATCGCGCGCAGGTCATCGCCATTTTGGCTGTCGTCGCTAGCGCTGGCGTTGGCGGGGCGCCAGGTGTCGGTCACATTTTTTGCAGAGTTGACCCCATTTTTACGCCACGCGGTCTAGACGGAAGCACTTCACAATAGAGCTCATATCTTTGTGTATCGTGCAGGCTTAACAATACTAGACAATACTGTGAATATCGGTGAACGATGTAGTTTGAAAGAAGACGAATTGACAAAAATAGATAACGGTATATTGAGGTGATTTGGGCACAAGGAACAGGCGATTGTTAGTAGCAAAAAAAGGTACTCAGCAACAACTTGTAAGGCAATATAGGAAGCGGACAGCTACGAAGGATGTTCTCGCATTAAATCGAGAACATTCTTAAAAAAGTCTGTGGTGCGAAGTGAGAAGAATATGTGGGCTTGTACGAAAAGACTGATGAATATAAAGTGAAAAAAAGCTATCGATAACCTCAGTCTACCATAACGGGAGTCTAAAGGCGTGAACGCATAACATTATTAGACGGCATCGGGGACTTAGTGAATAGACGCTTAGTGAATAGCTAGACGAAGAAACGAAGAAGATAGACGAAGTTCTCTGTGTGGTGCAGAATTAATTTCGTTGCTCTAGTACACATAGTACACAGAATTCCCTTGCCTGAGATCTTGCTTGAGATCATTAGCGCCCTTTACACTTGCGCTTTACGATTGCGCGCGGGAAACCGCTGCACTGCAAGGCCTTCGCCTGCTCGCGCAATTGCGTGCGATTGGTCGTATTCGTTTTTATTACAACGGATGAGTGTCCGTGTAAAAGGCAACCTTGAGACGCGCGAGACTGATGAACGGACGCGCGGTCTTTCTTTGTTCTTTCCAACATCTTTACACGCACGCATTTTGGCACGCTCAATCACGCACAGTTGGCTGTATCACGCGCGATAGAGCATCTGTGTAAAGCCAGCTAATGTCTGTTGTCTGGCAATTATTATTATTTTAATGAATAATCTCGGTACAGAATACTAAAACAACCGACCTCAAAAGTCATACATCCCCAGTTTGCTAGCTATCCTTAGAAGTGGAATATTTTCTTAAAATTTAAATGAGACCACTACCGAGGTACTCTCTTTCCAACCAAAAAGAACCATCAAAATCGGTTCACAAGCAAAAGCATACAGTCGAATTAGGAACCTCGTCCTTCTTTTAAGTCGGTTAAAATAGAAGTACGCCTGGGCACAATTTCATCTGATGCTAAGCGACGTTGTGACATATGACGATACGCGTTTGTCTAAAGAATGCCTATTCACTCATTACCCCAAATTGTAGATTTTGGGAAAGATAGATGGCAGTAGTGTACTCCGTTTCTTTGCCGTACGCATTAGGAAGGAAGAAGCAAAATGATTAGTGTGACCGTGTGGGATCTACGGGATAGAGTACTCCGGACTAGTCCGAAGGAGAAACGGTGAGAGAGGAGCTTAATTTTAAAGTTGATTGAAGTCAATGACAAAAACCGATAAAATAAACTTTTGTCTTCGTAAGCACTCCTCCACCTTCATGCCTCATCATCTCTTACCTGAGATCCGCAAACAGATTTATTTGTGTCGGCGGCTGTCTATATAGCCCCATTTCACCATGTTGTATTTACACTGGCCAACGTGTTTCCTGGGGCCCTACTCTCGAAGCACGAAAATCGTAGTTACGTCCATTTTCTGGACGTAAGTCATGGCTGACTTCGACACTGTTCTCGAAGCCTGTCAACAAAAAGACGTTCGAAACTTTGAAATTGCGTTGTTTTTTTTTGTTTAATTTATTTCAAATAAACACACGTTATACATTCTTAGTTCTATCTCCGATCGAAACTAGAGTCTGTAGGTCATCCATAGTGGGAAAACGGCCGTAATTCTACGGATTTCGTGGCGTGTTTCGAGAGCCCTGAGACGTTTTAGGGACTTTCGTATGGAACGAAACTGAGAATCGGGCCACTTTTCTGCGGTGTGTCGAGATTTTAAAGCTTCGATTATTATTAAATCATTAACCACATTGTATTCTACAGATGGTCAGAAACTTCCGCGAACAATAATTCAAAATTCATTAACTAATTACATGAAATAAATTCTTTTCAAGTTCTTATCTTCTAAACAAACACAATTAGCTAATGATTTTCCTTCATTATAACAATATTTTATTAAAACTTTGTTTACAATTGTGGACCAATCAGTGCTCATTCTGATATCGAGGGGTCAAATGTACTTGTTTTCCTTCATTCGCTTAGTTGAAATTTGACTTCATTTATGTGTATAGTTATTTAAAATCACTCTCATAAAACAATTTATTTAAAAACGTATATAGTTGAAATTTTGTTATTAAAATTTATATGAAGGATATTATTAGACTTGTGAAAAATTGTGTATTAAAGTGTATGAATTGTGTGACTTAGTGACAGTACTGGATTTGTGTTTATGGGGTTTAAGTAGTTATATTCTGTGATATAAGGTTGAAATTTTCGATTGTGAAATCTCGTCATTGAACATGGGCGATTTAATTGTAAGTGGTTTTTTGTTTTGGTTATAATTGTCATCATCCACAGCCCGAAGTCACCCACAGCTGGATATAGGCCTCCCGTACTTTGTGCCGTCTACTACGAGCTTGCTCTGGACTCGACGTCTCACATTTAAGTAGCCACTTCTTGGCCACCTGTTGTCGTTTTATTTGTTATCACTACACCAATTAATGTAATGTTTTTTAATTTCACGTTAAAGTTGATTTGTGCTCGATAAGTTTACCTTTACCACGAATGGACGTAACTTAATTTTGACTTAAAAAGTTATCTCTAAATTAGATTTAGAATGTCCTGTTATATGTTGTGATGTACTTATGTTTTAGTCAAAGTCAAAATAATTTATTCCATAGGTCAATTTTTTACATTTTAAAACATTTAGTAGCAGTAGAGGTCCTTGTGAAAGAGTTCGTCCAGCCACTTTATCTGTTTCTGTCGCCAAACAGTAATGGGAGCAAAAAAAAAGTGAAATCTTGCGATTTAAATCTCTGAGCGGCACTGCAACTGTCATGGATAGGTGTGTCACTTAACACCAGACTTGTCCGTCCCGTTACTTGATAATTAAAAAAATCTGAAACACAACACCATTGATTAAAAGTAAGCGCGAAAAATATTATGTATTTGAATACTTTTCACGGCATTTTTTTCGAGGCTCACGCAATGGAAAAATAAATCATATAACAACATTTCATCAACTATGAGCATTTTGACCTACCGCCTCTCAAGCACTTGTAAATTACGTCTCAGGGTGACAGGCGCAGCGGGAGTGTCCCTCAGATGTTTGCGGTTTAAAGCTCTGAGTGACACTGCAACTGTTATGGACAGGCGTGTCGCTTAACACCAGACGCTCGACTTGTTCGTCCTATCACTTGGTATAATAAAAAAATACCTAACGTCTAAGGTTAATATTATGAATATCTTCTTCCTTAATGAAATTTATGTATATTTTTACGGGCATATAAAATATTTGAGCAAATGTACTGTGACGCATTCATGATATCGGTCTCCTTAAAATTTTCTCTGAGAGAAACCCGAGAACCTAAACGTATATGGTTTGTATGTCTGCCGCTTTACCGCTTTGCCAGTCAGAGCTATTAATCTGAGTACAAATCTGAGGGGTCTTGTCACTCGCTCTCGTCACTCTGAGATATAAATTGAACAGTCCTATGTGTCTGTAATTTTACCAGCACCCTTAGCCGTCAAAACCGGAACGCAGTAATGCTCATTACTTCTTGGCGGCAGAAATAGTTAAGGCGGCAGTACTTCCCTGGACGAACTCTTTCACAAGGAGCTTTAATAAATCTTTTAATGAGATATAGCTTAGTCGTATATTGTACATGAGTTGTTACAAATGCCACGTTACATTTTTCCCCTCTCGTTTTATGTATGCGGAAGGATGCAATACGTTTTCAACTAGGTCAACAGATAGAACGGGTCTTTATTACATACCGAAACGATTTTGCGTATAAATTAAAAATTCGTAAAATAAACTATGATGTAAAATTATGTGGATAATTCTAAGCTCAAGTGGCTCCTCATTAATCTCAGCAGGAATTTACATATTGTCTCCATTTGGTTGAGGTTGTCTGGAAGAGATTGCTATTTGACAACATGGCCGCCTAAATACATCCTTTCCTGTTTCTAAGACTATCTAAATCCAAGCCATTCACCATAGAAACTTTTCATAATAAGCTGCAACGAAAGCTGCGTGCTAGTACATTGAGATGTATATATATAGTTGATGAAATATTCTTTGCACCGATTCTTTTTATCACTTTATCTTTCAAGTGCAATAGGACAAAAGAGTGAGTCGTCTTGGTGCACGTACTATCTGTATAGTGCAAACAAGTTAAAAATCTGTTTTTGTATTGTAGAAAAACGTTATGTTGGTTTTAATTGTCTTTTGTTAGTTTTGTTTTATATTTGTTTAACATGATATTGTGCCGCAGGTGTTGCTGTCTGATCCGGATGCAGAGGTGTCGAGTTGGCCTCTCGAGTTAGTGGCTCTGCGTGACAAGATCCAATGCGATGCGCGACAGCAAGAAAAGGAGGTATGTTATTATTGTCTATGAACTCTTCTTGAACAAGAAATTGTACTTAGTCAAGAAGGTGCGTCGTGGAAACGGATAATCTAATAAGATAAGCGTCGTGTTTATCTCGAACAATTAAAAATGACAGGACGGGGCCATAAAGACTTGAAAGGTAATAATAATAATGGTGGTAGACAACCACAAAACTCAGATCCGAAGCAATTAGAAAAATTCGTTTCCCAAATCGATCCTAACGGTAGTCGAACCAAAAAATGGCAGCGCGTGCATTACAACCTGTTGGGTCACCGAGGTCGTCAAAGCTCAAGGTGTCTGATTTATTATAATTTTATTTTTTAACAATTACTTTCAAATATTTTTAACGTCTAATTCTTAAACATACTGTAGATATATGAAAATGAGTCTAAATTGAATATCGCTGCCATTTCTCATGATGACAGTGGTTCATCTTTTGCGCCTTACTTGTCACTTTGCATCTTCAATCCATTTTACGGGTTCAGGTTATAGTCGTAGATTTCACAATTTTAACAAAGGCTGTGAATCTTTCCTCAATGTATTTACCGTTAACGAAAGATACTGCTACTAAACACAAATGTACGTGGTTTCGAAATTAAAATCATAGATGCCGCCTCTGAGACACAAGACGTGGACCACTCGGGAAGCAACGTTTCTCCCAATAAACGACCACCGGTCTCAAAGATATTAATTAATCCTTTGATAGTCGTAAACGCTTTAAAGCTTGTTACATTACCTTGACTGATACGCCAATGACGCTTTAAAGCATCAATGAAACCCATTGACTTACAAATAAATGGACGACGGGTCTAATACAAAAACCACGAAAAAAATGTCCCAAGTCAACCTATTTAAACGTAGTCACATGTAAAGGAATATGAAAAAGCTAAAACGTTGAATTTAAATTGTAATGTCATCGCAGTACTGTCTAATTTTGCTTGCTTCGCTGTCTGTCGAACAAACGAAGACTAAAGCGTGAATGACGCTCTGTATACGATAACGCCTTATAAGTTCGGACACTTTTTAGCGCGGACCCGACGTCCATATAATTGTAAGTCAATGATGAAACCCTTAATTTTCAAATGAAATAAATATTAAGATATTCCTTACGTTATTTATATATTCTGGTTAAGTATATATATTCTTCTTTGACTTAGGATAATTGAATTTAAGTAATATGGAAAATCATAACAAAACACATCACTATATTATGTGTAAGCTTGGCGTCCAGGGAACGAAACTAGTTTTTGTCAGTGGCGGTCAAAAGGTTACAGGCGCTATATGTCAAATTTGAAATATAACGTCTGTGTAGAAGTAAGTAGTAATTGTAGTGTTCGAAAATTAACCCATGAGAAACATTGGATAGTAAATCTTAACTATTACAAATATTATTATTAGTAACAGAAAAGAAAGTAAGATCGAGGGAGACTCGATATGAAGTTACTACGTACAAATGTACGTGGAAGAGTTCGTCCAGGCAAGTACTGTCACCTTACCTATTTCTGCCACCAAGCAGTAATGTAAGCA